ACGGTCTTTTTCACTTCCAAAAACGGTATACTACCGTAAAATTAACAATCAATACACGTAATGTCCAATACAGTTTTTCACCGTATATACTAGGGGAATTTACCGTTAACCATTTAACAGGTTTTTACTGTAGCATTTTTACAGTCTTTTAACACTGTAAAAAAAAGTCATTTTTTACAGTGTGTGTGTGACTGTAAATGTCTCTGAGTTTTGTTACCGTTCTGTGCCCATCATCCTCTATTTCCAGCACTTAATCAAGCCACTCTTCTTTAATACATGAGGACGTTTTATTTCACATGTCATTGCGTTTGCGCTGGCTCTCGATTTGAGCTTTTTCAACTCTATAGCGGTTTACCCGAGCATTGCAATTATTTAGTTTTTACTAGAAAACAATCAAATGGCTTTCCCAACTCATTTTTGCGTGTGCACGGTCTTTTTCACTTCCAAAAACGGTATACTACCGTAAAATTAATGTCCAATACACGTAATGTCCAATACAGTTTTTCACCGTATATACTAGGGGAATTTACCGTTAACCATTTAACAGGTTTTTACTGTAGCATTTTTACAGTCTTTTAACACTGTAAAAAAAAGTCATTTTTTACAGTGTGTGTGTGACTGTAAATGTCTCTGAGTTTTGTTACCGTTCTGTGCCCATCATCCGCTATTTCCAGCACTTAATCAAGCCACTCTTCTTTAATACATGATGACGTTTTATTTCACATGTCATTGCGTTTGCGTTGGCTCTCGATTTGAGCTATTTCGTCCGCAACCATTAAAATATTCGGTTTCTACAGAGACTCATTTGGCGCACATCATTCTCTTTCTATGAAACCTGTAAACCGCATTCACCGGTTCTAACTCTATAGCTGTTTACCCGAGCATTGCAATTCATTCGCTTTCGCAAATGGCTTTCCCAACTCATTTATGCGTGTGCGCGGCACATTATTTCTTCTTATGAAGCGCACGCAGCTTAGAGGGAACATTGCTTACGGGTTTGGAACAACACGAGGGTGAGTAATTATAATGACAGAATTTTCACTTTTTGGGTGAACTAAACCTTTAAGGCTCTTTACGGCTCCTGGATACCCCTGTCATATCACAGCAGCAAAAATGTATAGAGAAATGTGTCTGTGCTCTTTTGACTTGTGTCAGTGTTTATCTCCAGCATCCTGGTGTCGAGTATCACTACAGTAACTCCTTGGTGAATGTGAAACATCAAACAATGGCATCAGCTGACATTCCACTGCAAACTAAATAAAACACGTCTATGTATTTTACAACCAGTCTGATCCCTCTGAGAACAAGCTTTGTGTAAAAACACAGTACAACAATGCAATAATACTTACAATACAATTTTGCATGCAATATATTTCTTGGATGAATGTTTTATGTTAAATAATGTTATTGGTGGTTTTATTTTCCTGTCGCGTTTGTCCATGTGATCTTAAACTTCAGAGATCACTGATATGAGCTGGAGACTCAATGAAAAAACTGAATGAAAACAAACAAGGCAACACACAACCACCTGTTTGCTTAAAAGTAAGGGTTTAAAAGGCAAATCCATGATAAGGCTTATGTTTGGGACTTTTGTTTTCTTTCACTTTAAGAAGATTTTTCTCCTAATTCCTCTGCATGAATGAGGATGTTACTGGAATCCCTGCATTCTATTCATGTTCTTACTTTCACGCTAAACAAAACCAAAGACATGACAGTCATCTGGTCTGACAACAATCCTCCCGAGTCTCTCCTCTCATCAGATTGAGGATATTACTTTTCACAGCAATTGAACAGTTTGTCAGAATAAAATTTAAAGAGCGAGTATCTGAGACAGATCATTGAATTGAGCTCAGCTTAAATAAATAAATGCAGCTAATTTCTTGTTGTCAACTGTTTGTTTTCATTTCCGAAAACCATTTGAAAGCCAAGTTCATGAAAAAGCCACACTGAATGTCCCTGGTTTTAAGTTCTCTCTATTTCTGTTTCTCTGAGAGTCACATGAGTGTATAATTGAAAGCTCTGCGTTCTTGTCATTCCTCTACAGGGACGATAAACTAAAGTCAGTTCATGACATATGGAATTATATTATACACACAATACTGACTGGATTTCCATCCAAAGTTTTTAACAAATACATTTTTTTATATATAATTTTTTTAAATGTATTTATTAATTATGTGCAAAACTGCAATATCACATAAAACATTTGTGAATAAGCACCGTTACCACCCAATGAGTCAAAGAGAACAAGATCGTAATTTCCTGATAAACTGGCATGAAATATAAATAAGAAAAGTAGGAGAAGCCACGGAATATAAACATTTTCATATAGGCCTATAATAAATTACTTGCGCCTCAGAGCTAGCAGATGAGCATCGCAGGCAAAGTCACATGTGACTTGTTTTCATTACATTTCCATCTCCCATTATTCGCATGAACCCTTTTTGCACAAGTCAAAAACCACCACGTTCCCAGTTGTTTAGATGTGATACTTCGCAGTCATAAAGACAAGGTGATGGAAACAGTGAATGACAGCAGGAATGTGTGGGAGACACAATTTAGAAAACTTTACATCATAAAGAGCCATAATGTAGCTACAGAGATCAATTTTATCTGTGTAATACTATTATTATTAATATTTTGTTAATTCTTAGATAGAGTTCAGATGCACTGAACCTCAAAGGAAGCTGTCGTCATTTGTTTCTCACTAAACACATGATCTCTCTCACCCGCCCATCTGACAACTAACCAAAGTCTCTCCTCCCATCAGACAGAGAATATTACAGTCTTCACAGCACTTGTTCAGTCTGTCAGGATGAAGACAAGAGAGAGGAACTACGAGGCAGACCTTTCTCGACTGAGCCCAGATACGGAAACCAAAAAAAAAAAAAACCCTCTGGTGCAGGTAGGCTATCTATAGCATATCTGTGTATATAATAATATAATATATAATAAGTAATTTTGTATTCGTATTTTGGTTTGTTTCTCGACTGAGCCCAGATACAGAAACCAAAGAAAGAAAGAAAAAAAAAACCTCTGGTGCAGGTAGGCTATCTATAGCATATCTGTGTATATAATAATATGATATATAATAAGCAAAATTTGAAAGGCATTTTATGGAAAATCCAGGATTTAAGTTCTCTCTCTTTTGGTTTCTCTGCAGCTCATGAATGAGGACGTTACTGGAAGCTCTGCAATCTTGTCCTGCTCTTTCAGTTACAAAAAACCTGAAGTCAAGACATGAAATCTATTAAGACTCGATGGCAGAAATATATAAAACATCATTAAGAGAAATTATTCACTTGAGGATCAAAAATACAACATTTCCCAGAGAAGTTTACGAAAGGAAGCTTCACTTTCACACTCATGTAAGTTACTGATTAAATTTACTCATTATTTTGTTTAATCCTTTTCATTTCACTAAAATTAAAAGAGGGATGCTATTCTGCAGTCTAGCTAACAGCAGTTTCTTCAGCCCTTATTAGAATCAGCAGCTGTGATAACCCTTTTTTCTGAAACTTAAATTCAAATTCATCTTAGCCTACATAAAAAAATGAAAATATAAAAAAACTTTGCCTAATGTATAATAACTGTGGAAACAAAAAGGTTTCGTAATTTTACAGTGAAACCGGCACAATATTTTGTAGTCTAACAAATGAAGATGAGTAACAAAACTAAGCTTTTTGATGAACTGAAGTCCAGACATGACAGACGGATGATTGGAGACACGGGGAGGGACGGCAGAGACTTGTTCAGTATTACTAATGGTGAAGATTGAGTAGAAATTCAAGAGTTGGCTACATGCGATGAAAAGCTTGTGAAAGTCACCTTCTGTCTCAGGTGTCTTGAATATACTGAAGTAAATCTGAATATGTTTAACAAATCTCTGGAGCGCGTTTCATGTCGTTCTCATGGTTACTGTTGACGTCACTTACGTCTGATGTCATCCGTAGCACGCATGGCATACTGATGCGGAAGCGTGTGATACTTTGTTATTTGAAAGAAAAAAAAGAGTATTTAATCTTAATTTAAGACATATTTAAATGCAATATATTAAAATAAAACATATTGATAATATTAACACCACGATGATCAGGTATGTTTGATGAGTTCAGAACGCTATGTGGACAAACGCGTCTTCGTATTTTGGTTTGATTCTGTTGTGTTGTGGTTTGCACATGCTTTATTGAAACTAGAATTAAAATGGAAACCTTTTAGTTACTTTAACATCATTAATACATCATTAATACAATACAAGAAAACGTTAACATCATTAATACATTAAACATGAAGTGGCTGATTTATGATTATCAGGTTTATCTGTGGGGGAATAGTTAAACTTATTTTTATTTAGTAATTTTCCATTAGCATTAGCATTTAGCATTGTCTTCTGGAGTGTTGTCTTTGTATTATCTTATCGCGTTTGTGTTATGTGGAAATAAAACCCAGTTGAGTTACAGTATTTAATAGGATATTGTTTCTTTCTGTTCTTGCAGCTGCAGCTTCATCTGTGTATTTGCAGTGCTGATAAATAAAGGTAAGGATCTGAACAACACACTTAAAGGGGTCATAAGATGCCATTTAAATTTTCCCTTTCTCTTTGGAGTGTTACAAGCTCTTGGTGCATAAAGAAGATCTGTAAAGTTGCAAAGACTAAAGTCTCAAATCCAAAGAGATATTCTTTATAAAAGTTAAGAGTCAACCACGCCTACCTAAAACGGCTCGTTCTAACACGCCCCCACATGTCTACGTCACGATGTGCGAAGATTTGCATAACACCGCCCAAATGTTCACGCAAAGAAAGAAGACGTAACTTTTATTCTCGCTGTAATATTGAAAAGTGAAAAGTGAAAAAGTGAAAAGTGACGTGACATGTGGCCAAGTATGGTGACCCATACT